CCCCCCTTTTGAGACATTCTCACTTTGTTACCCTGTGTAGAGTACCATGGCATCACAGCTCACAGCAACCTCAAACTCTTGGGCTAAAGCTATTCTCTTGCCTCAGCCTCCCGAGTAGCTGTGATAATGCCCAGCTATTTTTAGAGGTGGAGTCTTGCTCTTGTTCAGGCTGGTCTCAAACTCCTAAGCTCAGGTAATCTGCGTGCTATAGCCTTCCAGAGTGCTAGGATTACAGGCATCAGTCACCGTGCCCCGTCTCTCTTAAAAGTTTTCAATTTTGTTTTCCCCCCATTTAGATCTTTAATCCACCTGGAAATTTATGTTTCATTTCTTTCTGTTGTAAGACAGGAATATGATTTATTTTCCTATAATTGCTCCCAGATTACTTATTGTCTGGCTAGACCATGTGTTATCCATTGTTTAGTTTTTTACTTTAAAAAAATATTGTGGAAATAGAATAGTCAGATGAAAAAAGATATATATGGCTCAGTGCCTATAGCATAGTGTTTACAGAGATGCCACAAGCATCGAGGCTGGTGGGTTGGAACCCAGTCCAGGACAGCTAAGCAACAATGACAACTGCAACAGAAAAATAGCCAGGCATCGTGACAGACACCTATAGTCCCACCTACTTGGGAGGCTGAGGCAAGAGAATTGCTTAAGCCCAAGAGTTTGAGGTTGCTGTGAGCTGTGACACTACGGTACTCTACCAAGGGTGACATAGTGAGACTCTGTCTCAAAAAAAAAAAAAGAAAAAGAAAAGAAAAAAGATGTATATAAGTCAAATGTGGAACTTAATAAATTTTTATAAAGCAACAGCTGTGTAAACAACCATTTATGTCAAAACCCTGAAATGCCCCCTCCCAATCACAACCCCACATTTCTATACCTTAAAAGTTACCATTAGCAGTGAGTTTTATCCCTTACTACAAACCCTTAAATACTACTACAGTTTGGATGCATGTTTCAGCATCTTTATATTGTTGTAATTATTTCTCTTTACTATAGCATATTGATTTTTTTTCCCTCCCTTTAAATCCAGTATATCTCTTGAACTGAAACATTGTGTATTTTTTGAGACAGACCCTTGCTCTGGTGCCCCAGCTAGAGTACACTGGCATCATCGAAGATCGCTGCAACCTTATACTCCTGGTTCAAGGGATCATCCTGCCTCAGCCTCCTAAGTATATGGACTACAGGAAAGCACCCCCATGCCCAGCTACTTTTTTTTTATTTGGTAGTGAGCAACAGGGTGTTGTGCTTGCTAAGGCTGATCTTGAACTCCTAACCTCAAGTAACCCTCCTGCCTCAGCCTTCCTGAGTGGTAGGATTACAGGCACGAGCCTCCACCCAGCCAATATATTTATATTTACATAAATTCCTATAGTACATTTCCAAGATTAATACAGCAGCAAATAAGTAAATGAATTACTACATAAGTTTTATAAGATTTAGTATATTTAAAAAAAAAGATTTAGTATATTTATATCAGTAATATCATTATTGAGTCTTTATCTTAAATTTTATGCTGTTTACTACTTGTTCCACATGTTTTATGTTCCTTTTCCCTTTCTTTCCTGCTTTCTTTTAGAATATCTATTTAATATTATTTCTTTGGTCCTGTTATTTTGGAAGTAGTATATTCTTTTAGAAAATTTCAATGGACATCCTAAAATTATATTATGCAATAAAAAACTTTATTGAAATATAATTAACATAATAAAACATACACATTTAAAGTGTATAATTTTATAAATTTTGATATACATATACCTATGAAGCTATCACCACAATTAAGATAATGAACTTAATTCTTTGGACCCAAAGTATCCTGGTACCCCTTTGGATCTTTCCTCTTTACTGCCTATGACTTTGTCTCTATGACTAGGCAATTTCTGATGTGTTTTCTGTCACTATAAATTACCTTACATTTTCTAGAATTTCATATAGATGGAATCATACAATATGCACTTTTTTATAGGGCTTCTTTCACTCAGTCTAATTATTTTGAGATTCATCTACACTGTTGCATATACCAAGAATTCATTATTATTGCTTATTAGTATTCCATTGTATGGATACACTATGATTCGTTTACCCCCTCACTTTTAATTTTGAAGTAGTATAATTTATAGAAAATTTGCAGAATAATACAGAGAATGGCCTTTGCCAAGCTTTCCCTAATATTAATACTTTATCTAACCACAGTTAGCAAAACCAAGAGATTAATAATGATGCATATTATCAACTACTAAAGTACATATACTATTCAAATTTCACCACTGTTTCCATTAAAGTCCTTTTTCTAGTCCAGGATCCAACCCAAGATCCTGCAGTACAAGTGACTGGCATGTTTTCTTATTCTTCTTCAAACTATGACAACTCCTCATGTTTTTGTTTGTTTTCTTATGACTTTGACACTTTTGAAGAGTACTAGTCAAGTATTTTATTGAATCTTCTTCAGTCTTGAGTTTGATGTCTTATGATTAGATTTAATTATGCAATTAGGAAGAATGACATTGAGAAGTGATGATCTAAACTCCTCAGTGCATCATATCATAGAATGCATGATAATATCTTATTATTGGTGATGTTAATTTTGATTACTTAGTTAAGGTAATATCTGCTGGTCTCTCCACTGTGAAGTTACTATTTTTCCTTTTGCAATTAAAAATATCTGGGAGCTTGCTTGGTGCACATACCACAGTGGTTATGGCACTGCCACATGCACTGAGGCTGGCGGGTTCAATCCGGCCCAAGCCAGCTAAACAATAATGACATTTCCAACAAAAAAATAGCTGAGCGTTGTGGCGGGCACCTGTAGTCCCAGTTCCTTAGGAGGCTGAGGCAAAAGAATTGCTTAGGCCCAAGAGTTTGAGGTTGCTGTGAGTTGTGCTGCCATGGCACTCTACCCAGGGTGACATAGTGAGACTGTCTCCAAAACAAAAAAATCTGGGTGACTATACAAATATCTTATTTCCCATCAAACTTTTGTCCATTAATTTTAGCACCCAGTGATGTATTTTGTCTGTAATTATTACTATGGTGTTTGCCTAATGGTAATTTTTTATTCCTACAATCCTTCAACATTTTTCTTTTTTAAAGACAGAGTCTCACTTTGGTGCCCTTGATAGAGTGTCATAGAGTCACAGCAACCTCAAACTCTTGGGTTTCA